AGGCCTAACACCATTGTCTTGCCCAATGCTAAAAGTTGAATTATAGTTTGTTTAACTCATTCGAACCACTTACAGTCTCATCATTTCTTGGCAATTCATTACCATCCATCTGTCAAAATATATAAAAAAAGATAATAATTAATTCATTCATTACCAATGATTTAAGTAACTCACTGGTTATTTCCTTCCGCTGGAAGTAACATTCATTCATTTTAACTAGCTACATTCAAATTTCTTACATGACTTAGTTAAAAAAAAAAATTTGCACATGTATAAATTATTCATAATTAGCATGTACTGTTGAAACTAATTAAAACTAAATATGCATAAAATCAAGAATATATTATTTATAATTGCAAATGACTAAGGTATAATATTTCAATTTTCAAATGAAATCCTTTCTTTTTAAATCCTAAACAAACAACAGAATTTTCAATCAAACACAAAAAGGTCAATAAAAGAAAATTAGAGACAAAGTTTCTCTTTGGAATATAAATTACAAGAATAATGATTGGTACATCCTTCAGTTTAATATATTTAACAATGCTCATTGGTTCAATAATTAAGAAACTAATATTTTCAAATTTGAATTGGAGGTTGGAAAAATTTTCAAAGGTAAATTTTAATAACTGAACTAGTGAGTGTTGTTAGGTGTGTTGAGATAGAGGGTGTACTAATTATTTTCAAAATTACAATAAATTAAAAGATTTTGTTTGATTACCTACATAAGGTTATTTTATTTGGTTTTCATCTTTATTTGAGTTGATCTTTGAAGATTGCTATGAAAGAGAGTTTGTGCGATGGTTAAGCTTTTTCTCTCATTTTTTTCTTTTTTTAGGTCAAGAGTATTTAAGATATTGCATATAATTTTAACATCATTTGGATGACAGGAGTGGTTTAGTGAGGTTCAAAACATAGGTCTTTAAGTGCACATTTCAATACCACAAGCCTTTAAATGCATTCACTTTAAATCACAAATAGGTTATATGTAATTTCCCCTACAAAATTATTCAAGATTGTAAAGGTTATGATAATAATGTAATATTAAATAAAGAGATGTATACAATATTACTCGTCGCCTCTTAAATAAAAACAATTAGTTTTTTAATAATACGTTAATATAATATTACATAATATTACAACTTTATTATTTTTCAATAAAAGCCAACAATAGAAACCAACATCTGTTCTAAATGTGGGTGAAATTAAATTTTAATGCACTAAAACTATACAAGTAAATTGTTACAAATTTAAGAACAATTTTTTAGTCCTATAAGAGATTTTTAATAGTTATTAACTTAAATTTTATATTAAAAATTTTAAATTTAAATTTTAAAATAAGTAAAGAAGGATATGAGAAGGAAAGAAATATCCCTATTAAATATCTTGAAATGTCTTGATTAGTGAAAAGTGGGCTAGTGGGTCAAAAGTGTTGGACCCAATGCTAATAGTTAGTCGATCTAGTTGTGCTCGCCTCACCTAACCCTTGCTTTATATGGCTTAGGACCATAAGTAGGGTCTTCCTCTAACCCCACCATTCCAATGACTTGGTTTTACTAGCCATATTCTTGTTTAGTGAAATATCAGAAGCATCTAGGGATGGTAATTTACCCCGATCCCCGCGCGGCCCCGTGGGGATCCCCACCATGGGGATGGGGCGGGGAGTAATTTTCCTTCCTACGGGGCGCGGACGGGGAGTATTTTCTCCTCGTGAAAATTCGCGAGGAATTTTTCTCGCCCTGCAAGACCCTGTAGGGATCCCCATCCCCGCGAAAAATTAAAAAAATATATAAATTAGTTTTATTTTAAATTTAATTCAACATTCAAACCTAAATCCAATTCAATAAAATTTAAATTTAATCCAATTTTATCCAACTTATTATTAACCTTTTAGTTATTTATGTTAGATTGATTTTTATTTATGTTTGGATAATTTATATTTAAAAAATTTTAATTAATTATACTTGAATTTTTAAAATTTTATTTATTATAATTGAATATTAATTAATTATATGTAAAAAATTTATTTTTTTATATTAATTGGTGGGGAACGGGAATGGAGGGCAAAATTTGCCCCCCGTTAAAAATCCCCGCGGGGATCCCAGTCCTCGGCACTCGCAGGGACGGGGATGGGGAGGGACTCCCCAGCCCCGCAGGGCCCCATCGACATCCCTAAAAGCATCTATAACACCTTTTGAACCTTGCCTCAAACTCTTTACCTTTGCCAAACCTAGCTAGCAAGTTGCAAGCTTCTCATCTCGGTTAAAATTTGTGCATCAACTTCATCCCTTTTTGCAACAAATTTCATGGAACTTGTTGGAAAATGAGGTGTAAAAATATAAAAAATACCTTTTTTAGGTAGACAATATTTAAGACATTTTCAAGGTATATATATATTTATTAATTTATTTAAAATATTTTAATTTTTTTATTATAATTGTTAACATTTTAATTATTAAAAGGTCTTAATTTTTTTAGATTCCTAAAGTAGAATAAGAAATTCAATACCTATTAATTAAAAACTTTAATTTATAATCAAAATGAGATTCAAACCTTAAAATGCTAAGCAGCTAACTTGAATGTACCATAAAAAATAAAATAGGGAAAATTTACATATATTAATGGAAGTTAGATACTTCAACCGATATCTAAAACCATGAAATTAGAAGCCAAAACTTGTACGGATTGAATATAAGTGGATATGGTGAATGGGGCCGCCAAAATTAGGTTAGGTTGCCCATACAGTACTTCTAATGAATTGGTAGGTTATCCTAATAGAAGATCTGCCCAATATTTTATAAAAAAATCATGGATTAAACGGTTAATTAAAAAACCTTTGTTCTTGATCATTCGGAGGATTAAATTAATCTCGATGTTGATTATTTGCTTTTGAATGTATTAAAGAGAGATTAGCTTTTAGAACTGCACTTAAAGTCATTAAAAAAATCTTAATCATTAAAAAAAAATTTTAGCCTTCTTTTTGTTGAGGGCAAGTGAATTAATTATTTCTGCAGTAAAATGATTACATTAGCAAGCATAAGAAGGTTAAAACTTTGAAACTTCTAACAAAGAAATTCATATTCAAACATTTTTTAGGAATGTAGCTGACCTTATTGGTAGAGCTTTAAGGAGCATTAAATGCCTCCCCTATTTTTCATTATCTGAATTTGTTAATGGTTTATGAGTATTAGTCTAAAAAGGCAAAAAGAAAGTTATAGTTAACTCTACTCTCTTTCTTTATTTTTCTTGTATTTTTTTGTCTCTCTAAAAATGAATTAGACTTTGTGGTAATTTTATAAGTACTTTAATTTTTTCAAGCATTTTGATGGATAAAATTTTAAATTTGAGTAATAGTAATCACTGTAATTTTTGTAATTTGATTATCTATTTTGCAAATACATTTTACTTTGTATCTTTTTCTAATTGTATAGAATTTTATTTTTTTTCTCTTCTATTTAAGGCTATTTTTGTAGTAATTATTTTTTTCTTTGTATATTAGTGTGAAAAATATTTTAGATTTATCTAAGAAATAATTGTGTTTTAAATCAAATAAATTAGTTTTGATAAAAACAATATTAGTTTCACAAATTTTTATTACAAAGTAAATATCTGTTAAACCTATTAAAATATTCGTAAATTAATTATTTAATATCACACTTTATTCTATGTATTTTATTTTATTTTCCTTCTTTTAAAAGACAAATACATCCTAACAAGCCGCAAGAGAGTTTGATAATGCTAGTATGTATATAATTACACAGCAAGTGCATATTCGTTTTCAACACTTTTTTTTTTTTGTATATTAAATGATGAATTATCTAATAGATAACAATTTCTCCTTCCCTTTAATTTCTCCTTATTTATCTCAAAATTCAAATTTGATATCTCAAATTTATAATTTTAAGTTGTTAACCAGTGGGTCATTCTTCGACACATATTTGACACTATCAATTACATTCAAATAAATTTTTTTCTCTCTCTTTTTTTTTTTCTTTCATTTCTATATCTTTTTCCTCTTTTTCTTCAATTTTGTCAAAGTTTTGGAGTGCAATCAAGATGGTTTCCACTTTTGAGATTAGTTGGAAAAATTAGAAACCCAATTCATATCTTATCCAGACAGAAGATGACCAGATGGCTTGCGAGCAGGGCAACCACCATCCATAACACAAAGAAAATGAAAGAAAGGAAGGACTTTGGAATTGGAATGGAACAGCCAACAAACACCCCTGCACCATCACATGGGATAGACATCTATGGGCATGGAGGGATTGGTTGTATGGCACCTAATTTTTCGTCAATGAATGGAAGTCCATTGAAACATGTCAAAGTAACTCTTTTCTCTCTCTTTCTCTTGTTGTCTCCTGATTGGGTGTGTTTCGAGATCTGGGGCCTCATATATTTTAGTGCCTCATGATTAAAATTGCTCCAAGTGTGTGGATAAGCATAGAAGCATATTTATTATGAAAAGTTATTTTGTAGTATACATTATATTAAATTGTAAATTATAAATTTTTACATATATTAGGGTCTGTTCTATTTAAGAGTATATTTTATAGTCTAGATAACACTCTTTTTATTATGTACATGTATTTCTTACACTAAAAAAACCTAAGCAATTAACCTTTTCCCTTGCTAATAGTATAATTATATGTGTTAATTATTTATTAGTTCAATTATAATCTTCTGTAAGGACAGGTCCGAGGTGCCAAGCCTCGGACTGATACAGTAATTCCCTTATGACCGAAGTGAAGGACAAATCCAAAGCCTCATGCTCAAATAGCTGCATGACAGTGACAATGAGCATGCCCGCACCTGATCCCTTATGATGAGCTACACAGTAGTTAAGGTGGACATCCTTGCGTCTGAATATCTCTCAAATTCCCAGTCCCGAAATAACCGTCTAGAGATACACATTAGATCCCGAATATCTTACTTGGCATGCCACGTGGGTTCCTTATTGGATCCTATAAATACCCCCCCGGGCCACGTCAAAAGGTAATTGAAACCAACCTTAAGCTCTTTTTATCTCCGCCTTAAAGGTAGTCCCAATTATTGCTGACTTAAGCATTGGAGTGTCTACCTCGAGTTCCACCTCGGGGCTTTGTAGGTCATTCCGGAGTGCAGACGCGAACTAAAGAAGGACTTTTGGTTTGGTGCAATTACATTGGCGCCGTCTGTGGGAATCGAACTGAAAGCTTTCTAGTTGCTCTTTCATCATGGTTCACACTCGATCAGTCCGAGTTGGTAATTCATCTCTGCCTCATGGGCAAGGTCAACCCCCTAACAATCTTCCACCTCTGATCCCACCTCAACTTACACCTCAGCTTCCACCACAGGTCCCAATTATGTTCCCTCCTGTTGATCATGTAGAAGGAGGAGATGAAAACCAACCTCATACCTCAGCTCACAATTCAACTTCCACTGCCAATCAAGACGTAGTGACAGCTCAGCTTGCTGCCATGCAACAACAGTTCGGTGTTTTTCAGTTGGTACTGGCTCAGCTTTTAGCTAGAAACAATCCTGGTGACCCCCTCATTAATTTACTGAACCCTGCTCAACAACCCCCAGCTCCACAACAGAATCCTCAA